TGAATAGGCTATAAAAGCCTTCAGTTCTCTCCAACAATTGCAGGAATTCACAAAATAAAGACAAAAGGAAAGAACACATGCGTCTAAGCATAAAGTGACACAACACATTGAAACTTACTATATCTTGGAAACACAATATTTGTAAGTTATGCTTAACCACCACCTGAAGCAGGTTTGGGTTAAGCAAGGTTGGTTTACATTATGTTAGATTAAGTTGGGTTTTGCATCTTTGCTTACAGCATACCTTTTTAGGGTACATGATCACATGGACACTTTCTAGATCAATAGATGGCTATAGTCAAAACGGTGTTTTCATTCAAATTTGAACGTATAATGGAACAAAAGGAGGATTTCACGGACAAGTAACATTAATGAGTAACATCATATCAATATGTTTTTAAAATTAAAGCTGAAGAAGGAATGTTTTCTTTAATAAATTCATCAGTTTAAGCTATATTTATTATTTTCAAAACAGTGAGCATACAGTTAATGCTTAATACCATCCAATACATTGAGTACCTTCTAGAATTAACCTTAACAATACCTGATTCGATTAACACTAACACATAGGTACAAAACAGAAGTCAGGTACCTACCTACATTACCTATAACAGATAAAGGCATCAATTTTTATATGCTGGTCTTGATAAAAACATGATCTACATCAGTACACAAGGCGAAATAGCTCACAAGTAGACAATGTACAGAGTCGCCTCTCCATTACATAACATGTTCATAATCCACGAGGTTACGTAATGGGCAAGAGCGAAGGCGAGCAGAGTACACGGGACTGGCGTAGCATTATCGGTGCAATTTTATATGAAGGAACTGATTCAATAAAGTGATTTACATCAAATCAAGTCACTCACCGATATCGGGGAGAGACCCTTTCCCAGAAGAACTCCAGCAACTCGGCAGAGGCCCGCCATCTTTCCAACACACAAATTGAATCGAATGAATTTGTAGGTCTGTGAAGAAAGGAAACCACGGTTTTCAGTCCTGTTCAGAAACTATTTTCCTTCAGTGCCCGCTAGGTGGATTAAGCTGATTCTCCAATCAAATCCAAGATGCGAACTGATATACGCCAATGAGCTACCGGAAAATGTAGGTATCAGATGCTTTGCTGATTACAGCCGTTTCATGAACAGGAAAAAGCTAAATTTTTGAAGGTCTAATTGACTGCAAGTTTTATTTCTCCAGCCATTATTGCAGCTTTCTGTCAAAGTGTTGCCATGCATAGGAGAAAATTATGAAATTTATCTAAACTTGCTTACATTTCAGTCTTTGCATACTTGATGTTTCATATAAAGGCTAAAATATTTCCCAAATGAGTTATAGACGTCTCGTTGGACGTGACCAAGACGTGACCAACCAGCTGACAAGCCATGCTAATCTATTTGCAAAAAGCGTTGCACTTCTAGAACATGGCCGACAAAATTAGGCTGTCTAGTATAAAATTGAATTTGTTTTAGTAACATTACATTTCGTTGAAGCAAAATGATGCTTCTTTCGAACGACACTTCCAATTTTTTTCCTTCATGACGTAATTTCAGAAAGGTAGCGTTCTTGCAGTGTTTTTACGATTCTTTCCCATTTCAGCAGCCCCAAATACATTTGTGGCGTGGTGTTTACAAAAATGAACCGATCAAAACACTAAAGGTAAAAAAAGGGGCCTTGGTAACAACTGGATTTCCATTACGTCATGGGTGATGATGTCACACCACGGGTGACGTTTCACTGCTGCTGCTGCTGTCCACGGAGGGCAGCGTTTGTGAGTGGAAAACAGTAGCAAAATTGTAAATGAAGGCAGTATTGGCGCTTATGCTACATATGAAATTTATAACAAAATATTGATATTAGTGAATGTTTATTTTTGTTACTTTTCATAAACCCTCCAGTTTCCAGGGTCTGCATGCAAAAGTTCTGTTATTTTAGAGTCAAGCTATTGTACTAAGGGATTCATTTTGGCAATTAAGTCATGTGTTAGGTTATAAGGCTGCAGAAATTTTCAGTTGAGGTTGGTATCCACTATCCAGTTGCAGCTATAATTGTGTCATATTTTGTACCATTTTCTGAACATGTAAACACCTACCTATATGAATTCAAATATTGTGATTGTAGAAAAGCAGTTACCCTCACATTGCAGCGAGGATTAGAACAATTAACCACACTTGTTATACAAAAAGCCTGTTTGCCATCAATTTTGGGAATTCAATTGGGTATTGGTAAGGTAGACGTAGCACAAGCTGCCCTATGCACGATGACGAGAATGGGTCTTTCTAACCAAACCTTACCTAACCTGACCTACAACCTATAGCCTCATACCTAAAATTTACAACCTACGACCTAGTCCTACGGTATGGCATATCACGACAGCTTGTGCTACGTCTGCTACCATGACCCAACTTTGTTCCAACTCATACCAACTTGGGATGACAGTCACTGCAGATGTGTGCTGACCATGCAGGTCTTTGTTACAATTGCAATTCTATTGTGTTACAGGTTCGGTGTTCTACAGCTGCGACCCGCCATGGCTGGGCCACCGCGGCGGCATCACCTTCAGGGTGGACCTGCCCGTGGCCACCCGCCAGTCGGACCCGCCTGCAGTCTGCAGGGAAGCTGCCCTGCGAGCCATTGCAGACCTCCCGCACCCGGACGTCACTATCTGGTCGGACGGCTCGGCTCGCGGCAGGACGGAACAGGGCGGCGCAGGCGCGCTGATCCAGTTCCACCACCTCAACAGAGAAGAGACCGTGCGCGCTCCTGCAGGGGCGGTCTGCTCCAGCCTAAGAGCAGAACTGACCGCCATGCGCGAGGCGTTCGCGGCTGTGGCCGGCCTGGAGGACGGGGAGTTGGCATCGACCAAGTCGGTCCGCCTCCTCACCGACTCAAGGTCTGGGCTCCAACTACTCGGCCGCGGCCCAGCTAACCAGACCATGGCCCTGGCCGCCGAGGTCTGGAGGCTGCTGAGCACCCTCGCCGAGAACGGCACCGAGACGGTGCTCCAGTGGGTGCCAGGCCACGCCGGGCTGGACGGCAACGAAACCGCCGACCGCCTGGCTGGCGAGGCCACGGCGGGCGACCAAGACAGCGCACCGATCGACCTGTCGAGTGCGCACTGCGCAGGCCGCCGTCACGCGCCATGTCCGGGAGCTGTCGCGACAGAGGACAACCGCTGCCCACCCGCACCCGGACCCCACGCCTGGCCACGACTCCCTGGCGCGCTGGGGGTCGGTGACGCTGTCCCAGCTGAGGACCGGCACATCACCGCTGACCCGTGACACGCTCCACAAGATTGGCCTGGCAGCCGACGACGAATGCCCCGCGTGCGGGGAGCCCGACAGCGCGGCGCACCTACTGACCGATTGTCCGGCCTATGAGGCGGCCCGCCGCCGCCGCTGGGGTGTCGACCCTCGCCTGGTCGACGTCCTCGGCGGCCCGGCGACGAAGGTCGTCACCTTCATCGAGGATGTTGGGCGGACCGAGCCGCCGCTCAACCCGCCTGCGCCGCCGCCCCCCCCCCCCCCCGAGCGGGTTGGCGGTGGGATGCAGAAGAAGAAGAAGCAACTGCCAGCGCGCCACGGCGGCGAAGCCGAGTTCCGTCGCTGGACCGCCCGCGCAATGGCCAGCACAGACAAGCGGCAACCGAATCACAACACCTACAATTACGTTATTGTTATGGTATTGTTACAATTAACCCTGCTCTTTCGAGCGTGGATGCACGCTGAAATTGTCGGCCGCATAATTCCATGCAGCTTCCACCCTTCTGCAATACAAAGCTTGAATACAAAGTAGTCTTGCAATAGGTTTAGAACTTATGTGCAGATTGTCGATGCTGGTCGACTTGATGATTAGAATTGTGTTTATCTGTTTCATCTGTTTTGACTTAAATATATGGCCATGGGGCATGGACTATGGCCTACCTTGGGAAGTGTCTCTGATTTCAACAAAACATTTTTCATCAGGGTACGCTGCAGGGTACATAGTACATACGTAGTGAAAATTTTGAGCATGTATGGGTGCGCATGTGGAGATGTAGACTGCGAATGAGACGGACTACGACGGTTTTTGAACCAATTAAATCTGATTGACAACATAATGTAGGACTAAAAACTGACTGTCAGAAGAATATTCACAGAATATTCACTTCACCCGGTACAACGAAAAGGGAAAGTCAGGGAATAGAGGCAGGGTACATCTCGAAGATCAAATTGCAGGTGCCGATTGGTTATGGATCATCGCAGCTCAAGGTAGGAACTGCTTTGTGCTGCTTTATTGTTAACTGAAATTGCTTCCACCTTGTATTGAAAGAAGTCATTATGGAAGATTTTAAAAAGGTTCATGAAAAATGTTGAATACTTTGAATGTATATTTCTGCAGAATTATACACCCGTATCATTCTTTACATGTCAATATTTGTATATTATCTAGCATATAAGAAAATAGTGGCCTCAAGTTTCTAGGAAATATCTGATCTTGCTCTCTGGGCCACCGCAGATCCCTAAAAAGTTAGAAGCCGTCTTTATTATTTAATGTATAAAACCAAATGAATTATCACTGCTCAAAAGTGGAAGAAATGACAAATGAAAAAAAGTTTTCCTACAGCGTTGCAATCCAGATTTTCAGATAGTGATGGGCGTACTAGAAAGCAAGTAAAAGGTATTGTAAAAGTACTCCACAAGGTAAAAGTAAGGAACAAGAATATCCTTATACTGTTTCAGAATTTGGTAACAAACATTTTTGATGTGTTTTAAATACCCGAACGAATCGATTCCAGAATCAGTCTTGATGATATTATATGGTTTTTGTATGGTGTTGGTGGTACTTGAATGACCAAAGTCAGTACATGTCCATCACTTTTCGATATTTCCGTGGTGCTCGCTCCCATTTCATAGCTGCTCACGGTGTTTTCTGCTGACGTCATATGGTGCTGCTCCACTAGCGCCACCATACGGCGTCAGCTGGCGAATTATCCAGTTAATACCAGAGCCCAAAAAAAGGTGGATGATTACTTGGATGATTACTGCTTAGCAGGGATGGTGATTTCCCGACAATAAAATATGGAGTAGATCAGCATCCATTTCTATTACTTATTGAATTGATAAAATTTCAATGTCAATACATATTTGAAATTAACGGTGGTTTTTCTGTACGGCCCTGCCAGTTGGCGGAGTCAACAGTTCCGACTGATCAGGCAAGTTTTATAAGTTTTTTTTTTCATTTTTAAGTGAGCTTAGTATGAATGTATGAATGGTTAACTACATTCAGTGTTCACAAGTAGAGCTTGTTGCACAGACCCTGACCTCCATCATATTGATACGTTTGTGTCAATCCAATTATGGCTAGGTAGGTTCGTAACGGCCAACGGGTGCCTTTCATATTGGGCCTAGGAGAAGTGGGAGATCAAGGGCAACACCAGTTACTTAGCCCAAGTAGGTAACTACTTGACAGGTTAAGATGGTTTTGACACCATGTTTCTACATCATTTAGTATTGTTTTTTTCCATAACTTTGCTGCCAGTCTGCTAGCAACTCTTGGCTTCTCATTGGTGGAATTCACATAATTATATTCTAACAAACCTAGGAAAGAACAGAGCTAGGGCATCTATATCATTATGCGCATGCGTGCTGGAAAGGTATGGTTTTGGAGAAAATGTGTGTGAAAAGTTGTTCTTGGATTTCCTATTTGAGGACTGTGAAGGCACTTGGTGTCAACTGCAGCTGTGCCTTAAATCCATTCTCTTAGGTTTATTGCACTATAATGTACACATTTTTCAGTCTGATCCAGTGCCAGGTTCACTGTGCAGTGAGCACATCTGTTTGTCTGAACAGGTCCAGTACATACTTTTGTGCATACCCACAGTCTGAGAAGATCCAGTACAGGGTGCCACACTTTTCAGTTTGCGTATAACAAGGGCTCTAATCATAGGCCCTATCATATCAAGATTTGATAAGCTGCATGCCTGCATGCCTGTCTCCATTTGCAATCTAAGAAAAGAAGGCAATCATGTTTGGTGGATCTGTTGCTTGTCTGAGAGTGGTGACCATCACCACTTAAGTTTCAATCCTGGTGTAAGGGACATGCATTGAAAATGAAATGAAAAGACCTTACATCAGTCTAAACATGAAGAGGTCTCACATTCATTGTGCTTGGAGATTGGCATTCCACCAATAGGGCTAGAGGGGACAGAAAATTACAGCAAACAGATGACAGCTACCAGACCTAACAGCATGCAGTGTGGGGCCAATGGCATTCATGAGTAGAATCAGGGCCAATGGAATCAAAGGAGCAGACAGCTCAGCATCTATGTATTGTATAGCTCCATTGTCATTTCTAGAACTATGAATTTTCGTTGCTTGGTGACTGCAGGTGTGTTTTATGATGATTGGGGAGCTGCCATGACTGACATATCATATGCCTTGTTATAGATTTGAGCAATGAAGCAGAACCCGGAGGACTGTCCACTCTTTCATCAAATTCAGCCAGTGTGCATCAGCATCATTGATGAGCCAACAGTGAAGAATGTTGAGCACCTGAGCGCCATCGTCCAGCGGAACCTGCACGATGTGGGCTCCCTCCAGGCGCTGCAGGAGTACATCCTGTTTCCGGCGGACACTGTGCTGCGGCTGCGCGGCAGGGAGGAGAAGCTGACCATCGCGGCGCTGCAGCTGATGACCGACGTGCTGGGCCGCACCAGTACCAGCAGTGCCGGCCTGGCCGCCGACCTGCTGCCGCGCCTGTTTGTGCTGCTGGGCGGCGGCTGCGGGCGGCCGGCGTCCAGCGAGGAGCTGCGGCTGGCGGCGGCACGCTGCGGCACGGCGCTGCTGCTGAGCTGCGCCGGCCCGGCGCTGGACGCCGTCTACTCGGAGCGCGGCCGGCTGCCGCTGGGCCACGCCGTCTTCCAGCTGACGGCCGCCGTCCGCTCGGAGCGCAGCCGGCCGCTGCGGCTGGCCGCCCTGGACGGCCTGCTGGCCTGCGCCGGCGCCGAGCGGCCGCGGCTGCCGGCCGCCGCGCGCCGCCGCTCCAGCCGCGTGTTCGTCGCCCTGCTGCCGGGCGTGCTGAGCGCGCTGCACGCTGTCTTCACGGGCGACCCGAAGCAGGGCCACCGGGTGGTGGCCGGCGCCGTGCGCGTCTGGGCCGCCCTCGTGCGCCACGTGCTGTCTGACGCCGCGCTGGCGGCAGACGCCAAGCAGCCTCCTGCGCCGGACGCGGACCAGCGGCTGCCCAGTCTGGCGCGCACGGACGCCTGGCTGCGCTCGACGGCCGCGCGGCTGGAGCCGATGGTGCGCTCGCTGCTGCCGCTGACGCACCACCACCAGCCGAGTGTGCGGCGCGCCGTGCGCTGGCTGGCAGAGGGCCTGCTGACGGAATGCGCCGTCTCGCTGGCCAGCTGCGCCTGCCCGCTGCTGGAGCTGATGATACTGGGCAGCAGCGATCCGCTGGCCGAGGAGCGCGCCGAGGCGGCCGCCGCCCTGTCGCGGCTGCAGGCCCACATGACCCGGCCGCTGCTGGAACTGGTCGAGGACGAGTTCTACGCGCTGACGACTCGGCTGCCGTCGGTGGTGCGCCGCCACGAGGTGCCGGCCTCGCTGGTGCAGCTGTCGCTGCTGGAGGGCTACCTGGATCTGCTGGGGCCGCGGGTCAGACAGCTGACCGGCTCGGCCGGCCACGTGCGCCGCCTGCTCGGCTGCCTGGTGCAGCTGGTCGAGCTGCGCACCGACGCGCCGCTCGTGCCCTACATGGCCACTGTGGTGCCGCACGCGGACCCCCGCCGCATGCCCGACTTCAAACGCTTCCGACACTTTGACGACGAGGAGATCTGGCGGCGCATCTGCTCGTCGTGCCGGCTGCTGGGGTGCCACGGCGACGTGGCCACCCTGCTGGAGCTGCTGGACACGGGCGGCGCCGAGGAGCGCGTCCTCTGGAGCCAGGTGCTGCTCGGCCAGGAGCCGGCGCTGCTGGCGGCGCGCGGTGCCAGCCCTCAGCTCGGCCTGCTGGAGCAGCTGGAGCTGGAGCCGCTGCTGGCGCTGCTGGATCCCGACCAGCCGCCTCTGAGCCGCTGTCTGGGCCTGGAGGCGCTGGCACACGTGGCGCGCGTCACCGGCGGCCGGCACGCGGCGCTGGCCGTGCTGGCGCTGTGTCCGGTCCTGGAGGCGGCCGGCGGCGGCGAGCCGATGGTCTCCGAGGCGGCGCGCGCCACGCTGGCGGCCATGGCTGGAGAGCGCGGCGTGCCGGCGCTGCTGGCCGACAACGTGCGCCGGCTGGCCGTGCACGTGCGCCGGCGGCTGGCCGAGCGGCGCGGCCGCCAGGCGGCGCCGCTGCTGGCCGCCGCTCTGATGCGCTTCTCCGGCCCGGAGGCGCTGCCGCACCTGGAGGAGACGGTGCGGGCCGTGATGCGCGCGCTGGATGACGACTACGAGCGGTGCGGCGCCGCCTGCCTATCGGCGCTGCGCGCCACTGTGGACGCCGTGCTGGCCTGGTTCCCGCCGGGCGCCGCGGCCTGCGAGCCGCCGCCGGTGCCGCCGGCCGAGCGGCTGCTGGCGCACCACGCTCGCCTGCAGCGGCAGCGGGCCGAGCTGGCGCGGGCGGCAGCCGACCAGAGCACAGAGGACCCCGCCGAGGGCTTTCAGCGTTACCGGGACGAGCGGGACTCGGAGCCGGCGCCAGCGGCGGAGCCGGAGCCGGAGAGCGCCGCCGAGCCGCCGCTGCACGTACGACTGGTGCGCGACGTGGTGCTGCAGAGCGTCCACTTCCTAGACTGTGACGTAATCGCTGTGCAGGTGGACGTGCTGAGGACATTGTCCGGGGGCGCGCAGCTGCTGGCCGGCTGGCAGGACGAGCTGCTGCCGCTGGCGGCGCGCTGCTGGCAGCCGCTGCTGCGCTGCTGCCGCGCCGCCGACCCGCTGCTGCTGCGGCACGCCCTGCAGGCGCTGCACGCGCTGGTCGCCGGCGCTGGCGACTTCCTGCGGCGCCGGGTGTCGGGCGGGCCGCTCGGTCCGCTGCAGGCGTGGCTGGAGGCGCAGGCGGCCACCAGCGCCGCCCAGCGGCCGGCCGCCAGCTACGCGCACACGCAGGCGAGGAAGCTGCAGCTGTCCAGCCTGCAGCTGCTGGGCGACGTGGCCGTGCGACTGCGGCTGGACCCGCTGGAGGTGGGCGCGCTGCTGCGCGCGGCGCGGCCGTACCTGAGCGGCCGGCAGCCGGCGGAGCTGCAGCGCGCCGCTCTTCACCTGCTGACCACCGTGGCCGCCGCCGACGGAGACAGCGTGTGGCTGCTGCTGCGGCACGTGGTGGACGGTGCCGGCGAGCGTCCCGAGCTGCGGCCGCTCTACCGCAACGCTCGCGCCGCGCTGGACGCCCTCGGCGGCGCTGAGGAGCGCCGTGAGGCCGACACCGACAGGAGCTGAGCCCGTGACCGCCGGCCGCGGCTCCTCTGCCACCGACAGGCGAGCGAAGTGGAGCGGGTGGACCTTGTCCAGGGTTTCTCGGGGCCGACGTTACGGTTTCGGTAGGGTCGACGATCAATTACTGTGATATGGAACTGGACCTTGTTATTGCGCCAATCAGTTGTAATACTATACGAATTTCATATTTCTTTGGAAGAAGTGTGCCCTTTGGCGAAGTTTACAAAGCTAGAAGTTTACGCTCGCAAACACGCTTGCTCACAAGATGAGCACACACATTACCATATGGCGAGTATCCCACATGTGAAACATTTTCGCGGCAGGTTCGAAACTTGAAACTGCCATTCCGTAAAAATGGAACAATCCAGAGGCATGGGTGCCCTGATTCCGGGTAAGGTGTGCCCAAAATTACTTTGTGTGCCTCCTGGCTCGGGCGGCGGTGCGGTCATATTCCCACCTCGACACCTTGGATCGTCGCGCTGGTATTAGTTAGTGTAATACAACAGTCATTGCCATCTAATGCGAGCAGTGAACAGCCATCACAATGCTATCGTTTATTACACGGCACATCGTTAACATTATAGTTGTACTCGTTTACATTTACGTCTTTCTATACATTGTACAGTCGTGTACAGGTTGATGGTCCCCTACTCTTTATCCACCGGGTTCCTATGCGCTCAGCATTGGCAGCAGCCGCCTGGTACCGGTAGGCTGTGCCGCATGACCCGAGAGTGAAGCGGCACAGTCTACCCACGCCGTTTGACATCGGCTCGGGTCGCCGGGTGGAGCGCTTTGTAGACCAGCTGTCGCGTCAGACCATCGCGGGGGGAGGGGCTCGTCTCGGTGGTTGGCGTGGGCTGGGGAGTGGTGTGGGGCGTGTTGGTGGACCATGGGGGCTGGGCGGGTGTGTGTGGTCACTTGCTAGTTGCTGCCTTGCACATTTTGCGTCGCTTAACAATTACATTCCTGTTTTTGCTAAGCACAATGCACGGAACACCCAGCGAATCTAATTTACATGTGCATTATGCAAAACGTGATTTGGCACGGTATCGAGGCAACCATAGGTCTTGTGCCGCATATATGCATGATATTTAGGCAATACGCTTATGAAAATGGTAGATTGATCGGATTGATCCTGGATGTCAATTCGTATGCTAAATGTCGACATGTATTAAATGAACGAATGAATCAATCAATCAATCGACAATCGACATGTAGATATAAACCCATATAAATGGCTCGCAACCACTAAAATCAAACCAGATCCTAACTCGGAAAAGTAGCCGGAGCCCCGATGAGGCTCGAACCGGGACTCCACGTTGAAAGTCTTGCCAATGATCCACCATCATTCCACCAAGCTAGAGCAACCGGCACCCGAAACCACAAAAACATTCATTGACTTTGCCGCCGACCTCCCGGCACCGCCGCCCGCCCGGCCAGACTTTGCCCCGGTCGTGGCCACCATCCGGTATAGCTCAGCGTAGGAGTGCTAGACTGTCAAACTGACCGGTAGTGAGAGGCCCGGTTCGAGACGCTTCGCGTGCTTGATGTTTATTTCTGTGTCAGAGGCTATGCGCTTAGTCCACTTTTCAGAAAGATTATTTGGTGACAAGTCTGTTTTCTTTCTTTGATGCAATTCATGAGGAGTCCGTATGGACCCTTACCTGTCCTACCGCATCCCACTTGGGAGATGGGTGTTTGAACCCCCTGGGTTTTGTGAATATATCTAAAGCGAATTTTTGGAGGGTGGATTACGATCGGTTCTATGCGACAAGTGACCACACACACCCAGCCCCAGGTCCGCTCACTCCCTCCCCACATCCCCCCCGCCCCACACCACACTCCAGCCCGCCTCATCCACCGAGCCGAGCCAAATAGACAGGCCTGACCCTTACCCCCCCCCCCCTTCCCCCAGCCGGTGTAACGCAGCGTCCGGTCAAATCGCTCTACCAGGCGACCCGAGCCGGTGTCATACAGTGTGGGTAGGCTGTGCCGCTTTACTCTCGGGTCATGCGGCACAGCCTACCGGTACCAGGCGGCTGCTGCCAACGCTGAGCCATAGGAACCCGGTGGATAAAGAGTAGCGGACCATCAACCTGTACACGACTGTACTCGTGGGCGTAAGATAACACAGTTTACCGTAGTGCCTGGAATTTTCTGAGTGATACTTTCCTCGAAATCTGCCATTTCCTCAGAGGGGCATAACACATTCCATTGGCTCATCTACTAGCACTCGTAATGTCCGCCGCCGCAGACCTGTCACGAATCACTAGACACTAGTACATACGGCGGGCCTCAGGGGCACAGCGAATCTGACCGTACACACTACACACCTCCCCTCCCACAACGGGGAGCGGCGGACTGTCTCCCCTTTTACCTCGGAACGGCCGACTGTCACCCCTGGCCCTTCCACCACTGCATGGGGAGAAGCGGTAAGTCTCTCCTACCGCGGGGAGCGGCAGACTGTCACCGCTTCCACCACAGGCCGGCGGGTAGATTCGCCTCCCACCACAGACCGGCTGGCTGCCTCGGCTCCCAGCACGGGGAGCGGCGGGACGCGGTCCGCAGAGTCCCCCGCCCATCACGGACAGTGTCCCTCCCAGAAGAGCGGCGGAGCACAATATTACCATGGCGGGAGCGGCGGCGCACGGCATTTCCGTCAGAGAGCGACATTATTCCCCTCCGCGGCGGCAGTGAATTGATCCTACGCCCGATAACTCAGGTTTCGCCTCTGCCGGGCATTGTCGCGACTATCTGTAAGAATCTTGGTCGCGACACTCTCCAGTGGCAGCTAACACTCCCCGGTGACAGCTGACACTCCCCGGTGACAGCTGACACTCCCCGGTGGCAGCTGATCCTCCCCGGTGACAGCCGACCCTCCCCGGTGGCAGCTAACACTCCCCGGTGACAGCTGATCCTTCCCAGTAACAACCGACCCTCCCCAGTGACAACCGACCCTCCCCGGTGATAGCTAACACTCCTCGGTGACAGCTGATCCTCCCCGGTGACAGCTGATCCTCCCCGGTGACAGCTGATCCTCCCCAGTGACAGCTGATCATCCCCAGTGACAGCTGACCCTCCCCAGGGACAGCTGATCCTCCCCGGTGGCAGCTAACACTCCCCGGTGACAGCTGATCCTCCCCGGTGGCAGCAAACACTCCCCGGTGACAGCTGATCCTCCCCAGTGACAGCTGATCATCCCCAGTGACAGCTGATCATCCCCAGTGACAGCTGACCCTCCCCAGTGACAGCCGACCCTCCCCGGTGGCAGCTAACACTCCCCGGTGACAGCTGATCCTCCCCAGTGACAGCTGACCCTCCCCGGTGACAGCTAACACTCCCCGGTGACAGCTGATCCTCCCCGGTGACATCTTATCCTCCCCAGTGACAGCTGATCTTCCCCGGTGGCAGCTAACACTCCCCGGTGACAGCTTATCCTCCCCAGTGACAGCTGATCTTTTCCAGTGACAGCTGATCCTCCCCAGTGACAGCCGACCCTCCTCAGTGACAGCCGACCCTCCCCGGTGACAGCTAACACTCCTCGGTGACAGCTGATCCTCCCCGGTGACAGCTGATCCCCCGGTGACAGCTGATCCCCCCGGTGACAGCTTATCCTCCCCAGTGACAGCTGATCCTCCCCAGTGGCAGCTAACACTCCCCGGTGACAGCCGACTCTCCCCGGTGGCAGCTAACACTCCCCGGTGACAGCTGACACTCCCCAGTGACAGCTGACACTCCCCGGTGGCAGCTGATCCTCCCCGGTGACAGCCGACCCTCCCCGGTGGCAGCTAACACTCCCCGGTGACAGCTGATCCTTCCCAGTAACAACCGACCCTCCCCAGCGACAGCTTATCCTCCCCGGTGGCAGCTAACACTGCCCGGTGGCAGCTAACACTCCCCGGTGACAGCTGATCCTCCCCGGTGGCAGCTAACACTCCCTGGTGACAGCTGATCTTCTCCAGTGACAGCTAACACTCCTCGGTGACAGCTGATCCTCCCCGGTGACAGCTGATCCCCCGGTGACAGCTGATCCCCCCGGTAACAGCTTATCCTCCCCAGTGACAGCTGATCCTCCCCAGTGGCAGCTAACACTCCCCGGTGACAGCCGACCCTCCCCGGTGGCAGCTAACACTCTCCGGTGACAGCTGATCCTCCCCGGTGACATCTTATCCTCCCCAGTGACAGCTGATCCTCCTCAGTCACAGCTGACACTACCCGGTGGCAGCTAACACTCCCCGGTGACAGCTGATCCTCCCCGGTGACATCTTATCCTCCCCAGTGACAGCTGATCCTCCTCAGTCACAGCTGACACTCCCCGGTGGTAGCTGACCCTCCCCGGTGGGAGGTCACAGGTAACCCCTCCGACAGGTCACGCTCCTGGCTCTGAGCCCCGGCGTCACCGCCTCCTGACGAGCACGGTCAGGCAGATGACGAGACACACTGCGCACACCACAGACGAGCAGATGAGCGCGATCACGTGAGGGTGCCCGAGCAGCGGCGACTCTACGTCGACCGACTTCTCTGGCGGCAGCAGCTGAGATATCGTTGCTGAAAAGGGGAAGCGAATGGTTACTGGAAATACTCAACAGGCAGCATACATTGTACACATACACAGGTAGCATGTATTGTGTGCAGATAAGTTGCGTTCGGTGGTTATCATATTGCGCATACGTAGGTGGTTTATAGGTGGTTCGTGCCTCCAGTAACAAGCAGTTCCCACGTCCCGGGGCGGTGCGCCGCCGGTTTCGCTCCTCTGTGCCGGCCCGTGCTCGGCCCGGACCGGGAAGCTGCGCCCTCTGACCGCGGCCGCGGGCTCACCTCCGTCTGAGGCGTGCGTGGCCAGCCGGGCGGTGGACTCTGTGGTGCCGGCCGCGCTGTGGGCGCTCACCACCAGCTTGTAGACGGTGGCCGGCAGCAGACCGCACAGCTCGGCCACGTCCAGGTCGGCCGGGAACGGGCCCTCGCGCCGCCAGCGCGCGCCGCCGCCGGCCGGCCGCAGGCGCGCCTCGAACCGGCGGACGGAGCACTCGGCCGGCCAGTCGTGCAGCCGTACCAGGATGCAGCTGGCGTTGGCCGAGAGCGCGTCCGCCGGTAGCGGGCCCGGCTCTGAGGAACGGACGGACCGCTACTTCAGTCTGGGGCCGGGGGCAGCGGGTCCGGCTCTGGGGAACAGGCGGAACTTCTATCTGAGGCCGGAGGAGGGAGGGGGAGGCAGCGGGGCAGTGTGTGACAGCACACTGCATCTGTGCGTCACAATCTGTGTGTGACTGCAGGCACAATCCGAGTGTGACGGTACAGCCACAGTCCGTGTGTGACTCGGGACAGCTCCCGGCGGCGACAGCAGCGTGTCCTCACTCACTGCCGCCCTCGGTGGCGATGTGGATGGTCTCGCTGAACGGGCCGGTGCCCAGGCGGTTCTCGGCGGCCACCGACAGCGCGTATTCTGTGCCGCAGCTCAGCTGGTCGACGGTCACCTCTGGCCGCAGGTGATAGACGGACAGACGCCGCGCCCGCCCGGACCGCTCTCCGTATCGCACGTGCAGCGCTGCAACGGCGCACAATGCAGAGTCACAGCGCGCCACAGACGCGGCGGTCACAGACACCGACGTGACACATCGGCACCCGATGTGCAACTATGCTGATTTGCTGTGACATCACATTCTGACACTCCGTGGAGGAAGACGCTTCTCCCATCAGTCCCATTCGGTGCTCCGAGTGGGACCGATGCAGGAATAGAGTTTCTGAGGGAGGGAAGAAGACTCGAATAGTCTGTTGTTCGAGATTCGATAACTGGCAGCAGATCTTTGATATCGATAAAATATGTAGTTACTTCCAAACACCTCCCGTCGCCCTAAAAAGGATAGCAGCACTTTTTATCATATGTTGACAGCGTTCGGGGTTTAATTCTTTCCCTCAAGGACTGAACCTCTCGGCGGGTATGTAGGTATATACAGCAGTGCTCCCTATTGGCGGGGTCCGCGCGCTCACCGAACAGCGGCGCTGCGCCCGTGTCCAGCAGACTCCAGCCGAGCCGCACCCAGTGGCGGCCGACGCCGAGCACGGCGGGCGCCGCGGCGCGCGCCGGACGCTGCACCAGCACGCGCACCGTCATCGCGTCGCGGCCGTACACATTCGCCACCGAGCAGGTCCAGTTTCCGGCGTGCCGGCTGCCGGAGACAGAAGGCACACAGTGGACAGTGCTGGCAGCTCAGCGCTCTTTTCACCTATCGGATACATATTAACCCGCGCCCCGTAGGGCTATCGGCGGACCCTACCACCCGTAGGGGGGGGGACGTTTCGGCCCCCCTAAGATCTCGGAAATTTACCGGCCGATTTTCAAAATTCAAACGGCGTTCGATAGCCCCACCGGGGAACTACCTTGTGACCAAATTTCATTGACCTAGGTCAAACCGATGACGTCACAGGTCAGGTCAAAGGTCGGATTTTCACCGTTCACAGGCATTTCAAGAAATGTGTTGTAAAGTCGAGTAAATTGGTAAGTTATTGAAAACCATCGATGGTATATTGTTCGTCAAACACATACCTACTTTGCTATCCGAGGTCACTGATACCAGGTCAGGTCACAGAGGTCAGGTCACTGGGGGGTCACAATATGAGAGTGTCGTGTGATACATGTTTTATGGTCCATTTTACATGAAAAATGCGATTATGTGGGTCAGGCAGCCTTTGGGGCCAGCGTAGGTCACGTTTTGGTGAAGGTCAGGTCAATGTCAGGTCAAGTTTTGCATAAAACGGGTATTGATTCGATGCAGCTCGTCACTGGGAGTCTAATGGTGGTCTTTGTTTTGCCCTACGTGGTCTAGAATTGCCAAAAATTGAAAATTTGACGTCATCATTTTCGAACAGTTTTTTCGCCCTAACTTGGCCAAAAAACGAGATATCAATCTGAAATTTGGTATGTAGATAGAAGACGGTTGGTACCTACTATCACATATATTCCGATTTTTTCGAAACTCAAAAAACTTTTTGGATTTTTGGCTAGGGGAAGTTGGGGAAACGCCGAATACTTTTTTCTGACGCCCGTAGCACGCAAGGTAGACAACATAAGCTATTCTTGTTGGCGTCATTCGAGAGGCCAGTCTTTTGCCTCTCAAACATACCAGGCGCATTTGATGAATTCGCATAGGGGAGAGCGGGGAGAGTTGTATCATGTCCAAGTTGTATCAGGGCTAATTGTGTCAAACTTATCCAATGGATGGCGCTCGTGACACGACCAGCCGACGAGGTTTTCCGGGTGCCATCTTTCCCTGTTCTGTCGTGTGGCTGGGTGGACGCGTCTCGAGGTGAGAGCCGATTTTATGTTTTTTTTTTAATGTCATTCTAAAAAATAAGCCGCAAGAAAATGTGTGTTTTGGGCATTTAGATGTGCACGAATTTGAAAGATCTCCGTAGCGGTGGTGAGGGTATAGGTTCTAAGGCTGCGTGAGTGAAAATGGATTTCTCCAGCTTTCCGCTGTTTTTGAGCACGAGGATGTTTTTTCCAAGATGGCGGCGAGGTACATGTTGTATCAGAGCCGGGTGGGGTATGTTGTAACATGTGATGTATGTATGTATGTATGTATGTATGTATGGGTATGTTGCTTTTGATCGCGAAAGCTAAGCCCTGGCTCGCGTTTGTAGGTAGCTAGTCAATACCTACTCGTTCCATTTCGGCACAATGTGTTGGCTTCTTTGCTCTTAACGGGCCACTTTTGCGTCTTGATGTTTCGTTCGTTTCGATGTTTCGTTCGGATTGACCTAAGTTTGGTCTAATAAAAGTGAAGCCTTTGAGCATATACATTGTATTAACCCCATTTAATGTTGTTGTTATGTTTAAAACCAGTAGCAAGCACACTCCCTGAAACGTGAAATAGCGATACAAATTACCCCACTATGTGATACAACTCACCCAAGCCATGGGGCAAGTTGTATCAAAAACATTGTTCTATTCGGCAGACCGTAGAAAAAAAACTGGTAGAGGTAGCGGAAAAGTTACTTTGCACAAAAAAAGCAGAAGAATCAAGGAAGGAGATAGTATGGAAAAAAATGAGTTTATCACGGATAGTTACGAGGTTATGGGTCTCGGAGTAAAAACTGATACAACCCACCCCACTCTCCCCTACCGTTAAGCGCACAAACTAAAAATATCAAAGAAGTGACTTTTTCGGCGTTGCCCCGGACTGCGGGGAAAGCCGAAAATGGGAGAAATGATCTACGGGGAATGCCGACATTGATGTTTTGCCACTTTATCTCAAACTTTATCCAGAATTTATCAAAGCTGACACGCGTTTTAAGAGCTTGAGGACGCTTGGTGCACACTGGAAGTTATAATTGTGTGATATAGGTAATAAGAAAATGCCAGGTAAATAATTCCTTATAGGTAACAGGCTGTTGTGTCGGTTGAAAGTGTAATTTGTGTGACTAAAAATTCGCGTTGCTATTCTACAGCAGTAAAGTCCACGTAGCGTGCTTTAACGTGCGTAATTGCACGTTTTCGGCACTACCCCAGCCAGCCATACTTTCATTTGCAGGCCCATAACTTTTCAACGTGCCATATAAATTTCAAATAGGCAGCACACTTACGAGTTACGCAAAGACATGCTGAAGATTACTTGACCGAATTGGCCAGACAAACGGTAGCATAATGAGTAAGGTGGCGCAGTGCGGCTTGGTGGCGCAGTCGGTTAAGGCGTCGACCCGCGGCGCGGGCGGTGCCGGATTCGGGTTCGATTCCCGGTTCCACCCGTTCCGCGGGCGTCGTCCCCGGCTGTGTCACCAGGTGTGGGGTAGGCTCCCACTTCAGCCGTAGCCTGGGGGGTGGGGGAGAGGGCCGGGAGGAGGAGCCCTCCTGTAAATGGGAGTATATGAGCCCGTTGGAGGGAGCCCTGAATAAAAAAAAGAAATGCAGCTTCAAAGGCGCATGTAGTACAAGGAACGCTTACCTTGAAAACGCTCTTGGCGCCCTCACAGCCGAAGTATTCCGAATGACGACTCGTAAGTCGTAACAAACATGCGATAATTGTAGTCCCTTAAGCTTCAGAGCATCACTGACAGGTGGCATCCATGTCTTACGGTTTTCGAAATATCTCGAATTTCGGCTTTGCCCCAACTCCGGCATTGCCCCAACTTCCCCTAATATATAAAAAATGCTTTTCTGACTTTTTGGGGTCAAAACTCAAAAATTCAAAAATCCGAGATAGCAGTTTTGTAGCCCTGTGAATTCTACACCTTTTATGTCTTGATCATTTTTCTGTATCTTCAAAGCTGTACCTAGGTAGGCCTGACAGCTCTTCTCGCGAAGGTCTTTTTCGGTCGAAAATGGCAGAACATAACGTCATTCTGACGTCATTTGTGGCCGACCTATCATAGCCTCTAGAAAATTTTTTGGTCACAATGTGTAAAATTGATGCCCAGAGAGGTCCTGAAAGTTTGGTGGCGATATGTCTAGCCGTTTAGGAGATATCGACGGAAAAGGACAGGGGGGCCGTTTCGCCCCCCCCCCCCCACGGGGCGCGGGTTAACCCGCGATCCTAGGATTTCCACGCCCTGCTAGGGGGAGTGGGTGTTTGAACAACACCCCTCCCCAGGGCCTCGGCTAACATGTTAACTACAGTCAAGGAATGCCCCAGTAGTGGTTAGGTTTTGCCCAACCTCCACAAAATGAGAATATCTCAATATTAACGTAGGTACATTCTTTCACTCGGGAGCAGTTGAAGACGTTTGTGGCAAGGGTGGCAAGAAATCAGAGGCGGAGGAAGAGGGGGTGCATGGTGTGCAGGTGCACCCTCAATTTTCATAAGAAAACATAGGCGTGCATTGGCAAACATATCTTTTTGCATCCCCAATCCCCATAATCCATAAGCTGCCCTTCGTTCGAAAGAGCGTCAAAAATAATGAGGAAATTACTTCCGCAACTGTTTTGGTCAGGTCGTAGTTCATGTCATGGGGGTCATCATTGAAGACCAAATTTCGCCGATTTTCAGGTCGAATATCGACAATTTGCAGGATGCCGGATCATAACTCGGGAACCAACAGAGCTACAGCGCCGCGGAAAAGCGCATTTGATAGCCATATTAGTGTTCTTTCTGAGTATTTCTCTCAGATTTGACTTACGTCAACGGTTTTGCCTGCAGGGGGCAAAAATTTCCAAAAAAGACGATTTTTCGGGAACAGTTTTTCCTGCAATAACTTTTGACTCAAGTCTTGCACGAGCTTTCTTTTACTGACATCGTGTTCCTCTCGTCAAGACGCATCGAATGAACTCTAATTTTACATGAAAAGTCAACTTGAAAATTTGACCTCAGGTGAAGGTCATGATCTAACCAGAAATTGTTATGTTACATATCAGTGGATCCGTATCGTCGAGCTGAACACATAAGGCGTTTTCATCGCGGGTCGCTCTAGCATGCCTCTTTCAAAAGTTAGTCGCGAAAAACTGTTAGATACCATTCGTGACCTGAGAGGCTGAGATGACCTCAGGGGTATAAACAGGGGTCACGGGTGCCATTTTCATGTTCAGTGTGTCAAACCTACTTGTAATTCAATGCTTGAGAGTGTTTAGAATGACTTTCGTCCAAAAGAGGCGGTTTGAAATTGTCTCCCATTGACTTAAATACCTAGAGAGATCGCAAAATTGACCCATGTTCTTAGGCCACCGATATGAAAATTCCGAGAATTTTGTACATGCTCTTGCCCGTATCAATTGCTGAAAGTGTCAAAGCGATCGGTCACTCGGTGTAGCTATGGCATACACCGAAACATTTTATGAGGTGAGGTCACTTGTAGTGACCTGGCCTTGAATGACCTTGGTCTGAAATTTTTACAAGATGTGTAGCATTGTTGGTAGTTGGTACCATTTATTGGTAATGTGTAGCATTGGTTGATGATAAGGTGTGCCGAAAACGGCGACGCTCCGCCGTTTTTGAGATATCCGCGAGCAAACTAGCAATGAGAGGGGATGTTCAAACACCCCCTCCCCCAGCAGGGCGCCGGCTAACACACTTTTGCCCCAGTAGTCAAAATTACTTAGCCGAGGCCCTGCCCCTCCCCCTCTAACTCGGCTCCTGGGCCAAGTAGCGATACGTATATTAACATATGACTTTGTTATTTGTATATCTACATAGGTATGCTCGTAATCCGTATGCTAGATACGTCAGCTAAAATCACTGGCGGATCCTGGGGGGGGTCCACGGGGTCATGACCCCCCCCAAAAGGTCTGAGAGGGTCATTTGACCCCCCCCAAAAGCCGAAGACCTAAATGCGCTATAGACGCCGTCTTGCA